GTTCGGATAATTAGATTACTCATAATTTTTAACCTATGTGCACCAAGTCTTTGCAGAAACTTATCATTCAATATTCGAGTGGTTTTAAGCAACTGAAGAGAAAAAAGTAGTCAGCTAGACTGAGTAATTCATGTTCTGTCTCTCTAAATATTCAGATTTCTTTTTAACTTAAATTACAGCATTAAGAACAAAAATATTTAGAAGGATCTGAAGCGATCTCTGTTCAAAATTGTAAATTAGCAGGTTTTTATACATGCATCTACTTATGCTTCGAATGTCTAGTTGCCATTGAAGATAATCAAAACGAATGAATTAGAATGATAATTTCTTTTCTATTATATATATGTTCAGAATTTTTATCCCACCTCAGTCTACTTAACTGTGAACAAATATCTGAGTGGTATAAAGATGCTACTTTCATCAAGTAGGTTTTTTCTATCTATAATAAGCTTTATTAGTGGCACTGATACCGACTCGTTCAAAATTTTAAAAGATGTCCTGAAGACTCAATAAAAATATGCTCTTAGAAAGAACAAAATAAACTGAGAAATGAGATTAAATTATCTCGGAGATATATAGTCAAATATCCAAAAGAAATATTTTTAAATGAATTTCAGATTAGGAATCTTTTAGTCTATTCTTTCTCTTTCACTCTAAGCAGTCTATTTTTTACTCGTACAAACTGTAGATATATATGAATCAAATCGAGGAAGACGACAACATTGAAAATGATTAATGAGGTGGATTGTCTTACTTGAGGATAAATCACACAAATGAAAACCGATATTGTCTTTATAAGAAAATTCTATTTTGATGAAAATCATTTACAGATGCTAGGAAATCATATAATGTTTGGCATCAACACTACGCTCCATTTCAGTTTTATCAACTACAAGCAAACATAATTTGAGAAGTTTACAGAATTCTGACGGCAGAAAGACACGAAATGAATTTCAATCGTCTGCCTTTATGTGGAGTTTGAGATGCTTTTCTTTTGTTCATATTCATGGAGGAAATGTAATAACATGGCTATTTCATATCAAGGAAAAGCTTGACATTTACGCTATGTTCATGAAGCTTTTTGGCAAATGTTGATTAGTTCCGATATGATTTTGGATATGAAAGAAATAATAATTCTAATATTAAACACTCACATAAAAGTTTATGTAATGAAAAAGTTACTATTTAATTAGAAGAAATCTGTTTTCTATTCATTCATCTTTCAGAAAGTTCCTTAGCAAAAATCTCTCAACATTCAAATCTATTCAATTTAAAACAGTAAATAGACAGTCCAGAAAAATAAATTGAAACATCAATAAATTAAAAATAATACGCTTATTTTTTTCTGTGAGAAGATATTAGTTTCTCTTGAATGAAAGTTAAAAATATTTTCCCCATATAATAGACAAATTAATTCAAGTTTTTTTTGTTTATGATGTACAATTAGATTTTGACTCGGCTCATTTTTGAAGTTTTGTAAACTCCAATGATTGCAATGAATAATTAAACGAAATGAAAATAACATATCGTTTGATTTTAGTATTTGCCTTATTTTCATATCCATCTTATTTTAAAATATATTTTGTGATTCAACAAAAGTCTCGCTAAATACATTTTTTCAATATAAGTCAAAAAATGTATGGATATATGAGAATAAAGAATGGAAAGTGATTCTATTGGTTAAAACAAGCAAGGATAAGCTACACACACTATTGTGTGTAGCGTGTGAGTGTAGCTTATCTTCACCCGTTATGCGCTATTCTTATTCGTGTCGATTTCCATGGTTCACCATTGGTTCACTTAATTAATGATTTTCTCGAGAAAAAAAAATGGGCCGAAAAATTTGACTTCATGAGAAGAATTGTCTCTTCTCCAGCTACAATTTGATATTAAGTAGACTCTTGGAAAAAGTGATTGGGGGTATTTGAGAAATTAGCGCCACCAAGTGCATAAGAATGTCAACATTTGATATTGATTCGATGATTTATCTCGATTTGTCCGTAGACTAGTACTAGACGCACATTACTTCTTTCTTTTTTCTTGTGCTTGTTTTCTTACAATCATATAATTAGTTTAAATATAAGCAACACATTTACCTATAAGTTAGCCGCAAGTTGTCGCTAATAGACGATTAGTAATTTATGTCGTTTCTATTACTACTATTGTGTTACTTTCTCAATGATACAACAATTTCTATACGCAAGAAGAAAGAATATTCAACAAAGAAAAAGAAAAATGTATTTCAATTTCTTGGATATTTTTGCATTTTCAATGGTGATATGATCTTTTGTATCAATTTATGCAATGCATTTTCGAAATCGAATTATATGCTGTCGTAGGCAACCGAGTGATTTCATTCTAGGGTAAACTGAAACTTTTATCCAAAGGAACTCCGCCTATGTAAAAACATAGGTTCGAAATTAGATAAGAATGGATTAAAAACTGATTAAAAAATCGATTATAATGATAAGATTTTTAATGATTTTTAATCCTATTTTAATCGAAAATAGCCAAAAAAATCCAAATTTCATAAATTATAACAATTAGTTCTGATTTTAGTTCATTTTTCTTTGTGATAAATGAAAAAGTTTTCATGCGAATTTCACCAGCTTTCATCAATTAGACTCCACTTTATTTTTATGAAGTTTTAAACGATTGTAATAGGAGCTATTCATATAATCCTTGAAATTGTAATTTTTCTTCCAGTATTTTTGACTAAAATCGTTCAAAAGATGGTTATAATCAATTTTTAATCAATTTTAATCGGATTTCAGTCGTAACTGTTTTGTAAATGGATGCAAGCGGATGAAAAAGTGGTTTTCTTCATTTGTTAATAATGATGAGCATTATAATTTTTTTTTGCTAAGTTTTAATTCTTTATAAGGGTAATAATTATCCAGTGCGTTATTGCTTGCCAACGCAATAGGAACTAAAGAAGTAACCGAGAAAGGCTGTTTAAAAATAAGTAGTAGTAAACAGTCTGAGAATGTACAAAACTATTCAACAGCAAAAATCATTTTATTATATTGGTTCTTTGAAAGAAAATTAGAACATATACTTGATTAAGCTGATAGAAAGGGTTTGTGTTAGTTCTCACGATGACATTGCTTTACATAATTCTGGTTCCTCTTTTGCATCATTTCAATTGTTCAATAAAATTTCAGTAGAAGATGAATTTTCAGCAAAACTATTGTTAGACCTTTTTGTTTTATTTTGAAAGAAAGACATTCTGATTTTGTGTAACTGGCATCGGTATACGAAAGAAGCAATATTATTTAAGTATCTAAAATTCAAGAGCTATTTTAAATAAAATTTTGCAAAAAAAACAAGTCAACTGCTTTATATTGGGAAGCATGAATTTGATATCAATATAAATGACAGCGAAATTCTATTAATATCTTATTGAGCACAAGTTATCAGGAACAAACATATGGACTAATTTTCTAAATACAAATTAACTATCAGAAAAATATGAAAAGTAAATAATAACATAAAACTTTTACACTTACTCGCGCCTACACAAATCGTGGTCTCTTCTAGTTTGAGCCAATCCAAGTTTCATGACTCCGTCGCTTATGTATGCTACTTGCCAAAAATATACATCAGATAAAGTGATATAAAATGTGTAACGCTTAACTTTAAAGAACTTCTCTTGTCAATGAAATAGATGCTTGACAATCATCACTTCGACAACTGTCGTAAACTGATATCTTCATAAAGTGGTCTCATTACTCGATCAGCTCACGTTGATAGCAGTTGCAGAATGCATACCAAACAGAATTTAGAATTCTGTGGACTTGTGGATTTTTTTAAAACAAGTTGGTTATCACTCGCCAGAATTCTGTTGTTATCTCCTTATATCTCAATAGAATTTTATGTTCCACAACATAACCTTTACTCGAGGTAGTGGTCGACGTATTCCATTATGGCCTGATTAAATTCTGCTTAGAATATTGTAGAATTCTGTATTACGAGAGACAACGTATTCCACTCTGATCGCTTTAAATTCTGCTTAGAATTCTGCAGAATTCTGTGTTATAAGACACAACGTATTCCATTATAGTCGCTTTAAATTCTCCTTAGGTTTCTGCTGAATTCTGCGTTATCAGAGACAATGTCTTCCATCCTGGCCTGTTTAAATTCTGCTTAGAATTCTACACAATGTTGTAGAATTCTGTGTTATCAGAGACAACCTATTCTGTTCTGGTGTGTGTTCCCATTTTGTGAGATCAAAAAAGCGAAAGCTTCGATCTATTGTATGTTGTAGAGCAAATGACACTCTACAAAACTGTATATATGGCTATACTTAGGAATTCCATATTTTCAATGTTTTTTTCTATTAGACGAGAGTATCCAATGATTTAGGGGGTATGTCGTAAAAATGAAAAAATCATATTAGGAATGTATCATGAAAGCCACAGTCTATTATAGCCAAAATGTACTCAAGACCAGCAGCAACAGAATGATATATAATACGTATATATAATTATTACTTTTTGCATTTGAAAGCCCAGGTGCATTTTTCAAAAAAATCCTAATTTTTTCTGTTTTTTAGAAAAATTGCTATTACAGAAAGTCTTAGGTTAACAGAGTCTGAAAATCATGAAAGTTTCATAGAATTCGGAAATACTTGTTTATTTTGTGGTAGAGACCCCATGAAAGTACCCTCATATTATAACGAAACATCATTGCTATACGATGTGTAATCGTATATTAACAATGTTTGTAAGTTGGCGGAGGATGTTTCAAATTTTAATATCTCTACTTTAAAATTCCTTTTAGATCGTATTTCATAGTAATGATAACAAAAATCATCAACTGGACTTGTCATTACGCGGCACAGATTAGACTAAAGATCAACATTGCATCAAGTCTCTAACGCAACGCCTTGCAATACTTGTTTTTTTATGTGTATGTAATTGCATAATATGTATGAAACATCATATAAATATGCAGAGCACATGTGCTACACTATTAACATTACTTTTTCTATTCTTATTATGGCGTCATGTATAGTCACTTCGCCAGGAGATACTGCCCCGTCATTGGTAAAATTACGGATTCCATTTCATAGCGATAAACAAAATGAAGATTGTCTATCACGAGTTATTCTTGTCATTGATCGATCTGGATCAATGTGTGGAGGTAAAAAAAAAAAAAGAAAATATAATATTTAATTAATATAGAATTTAATCAAAATAAAATATAGGTCCATGGAAACAAGTACAATCAGCAGTTCAAGCAATTTATGAAATGAATCAAAAATTAGTGAGAGATGCTAGTTTCGAACCTATTGTTATTACTTATAATGATACCGTATCAATTACTGATTTAGCTTCGATTGCAAAAACAACAGCATGTGGATCAACAGATTTCGTCAAAGGTAATTTTTTTTATCTTTAATAAAAATTTTAGAAAAACGAAAATTCCGTTTTGTTTTAAATTAGCTTTTCAACAAGTGCAAACAACTGTAAAACAAATGAATGTTAAAAAACGTATTGTAATTATTTTCATGACTGATGGATGTGATTCATGTAATCGTCCAAATGCAATTCTTGATACACAAACAAAATTACGTATGTTTTTAAGAAATTCTGGTTTCAATTGTGTTGTACATGTTATTGGTTATTCAAAAGATCATGATTTAAATATGATGGATACATTAAAAACTTTAGGTACAACTGAAGGTGTTTATCGATATGCTGAAGGTTCAATGGGTTTAGATGAAAAATTTCGAGAATTATTTGAATTTGCTGATGTGACTGTTGAATTTACAATAAAATTACCTAATATTAATGAACCAATTAAAATAACTGGTGAAATGATAGATTCAGATTATGTTGAATCTGAATGTTGGTTATCATTAAATGAAAATATAAAAGACCCTATTGAAATATCCATTGGAAGAAATCATTATAATGTTATACCAAAATTTACTGAACCTGATACAATTTTTAATATTAAATCTTTATCAAAACGTACAAATAATGTAACAACTCAAAATGAATTAGATCAAATTCAAAATGAATTACAACAATTAAATATGTTTGGAAATCATGCTAATGGAACTAAAGCTGATCGACAATTAGCTATAGAACTTCGTGCTGAACTTCAAACACGTTTGAATGCTTTACATTCTATTATGGCTGATATTGCACGTGGTACATTAAATCAAACAGCTGCTCTAGCAAAAATGAATGATTTACGATATGCCGATAAGTAAGTTAAATTGAAATGTCTTTTTTTTTCTTTAAGGGAGAACCCCCCTCCGAAAGATGATTTTTCCTAGAAAATTCGATTTTCCAAAAAGCACATAATCTTGTAGCCCTGAGTGTCCTCTTTCAGAATATGTATAAATAATATATAAATGGAAGATATTCAACCCCATTTTGGTGGGTTACTTGAAAGCCATATATGA